CTACAGTCGCAAGGCGACCAGCGTGCACAGATGCTCCTTGAAACGCTAACGAAGGCTCAAAATGGGCGGTATGAATCCGGACTTCTTTGGAAGTACGACAACGTTCGTTTGCCGGATAGCAAACCAATGGCGTTGAAGAGATGGGAGTGTTTGGATAGAAGGATGAAACATGACCCATTACTAGCAGAAGCAGTTAAAGCGAAGATCGAGGATCACATCACGAAAGGTTACATTCGGAAGCTGACTGATGAGGAGGTTCAAGCGAAATATCCACGTGTTTGGTACCTACCAATGTTCCCGGTGGTAAACCCAAACAAACCTGGAAAGACGCGGCTCGTTTGGGATGCGGCGGCAACCGCCCACGGAGTCTCATTGAATTCCGTATTACTAAAGGGCCCGGACTTATTAACGTCGCTGCCATCAGTACTGACTCAATTCCGAGAATTCCGAACGGCAGTTTGCGGCGACATTCGTGAAATGTATCAGCAAGTCTTGATGCGGGAGGATGATCAGCCCTACCAGCTCTTCTTCTATGCGGACAACGGAGAAAATCCAAGCACTTACGTCATACAAGTGATGACCTTTGGAGCCTGCTGCTCCCCGAGTACTGCACAGTACGTAAAAAACCTTCATGCAAGTAAATTCGAACAGGACTATCCGGCTGCAGTCGAAGTGATCGTCAAGCGTCACTACGTTGACGATATGCTATTGAGTGTCGAACAGGAGGAAGAAGCAATCAAGCTAACGGGTGATGTGAAGAAGATACATGCATTGGCGGGATTTGAAATTCGTAATTGGGCGTCTAACTCTCGGGCAGTACTGGAGGCGCTGAACGAATCAGCCACAACGGAGAAAAACCTGGGCGGTGAACATACGGTTGAAAAGATTCTTGGAATGTGGTGGAACACTACCTCAGATCACTTCACGTTCAAAATCTCCAATCGTATAGACGAACTTTTTTTATCGGGAAGCCGTCGACCAACAAAACGGGAGGTCCTTCGGACTCTCATGATGATTTTCGACCCGCTTGGGCTGATTGGCCACTTCCTAATGGTTCTCAAGACGCTTCTGCAGGAAATATGGAGATCTTCAATCGGTTGGGATGATTTGATCAACGATTCACATTTCGAAAAGTGGTCAACATGGTGTGCAGCCCTTCCTGGAATAACAACGCTTCAGATCCCTCGATGTTATCGGACATTGACCTCTACAGCCGAAGACAATGATATCCAGCTACACACATTCGTCGATGCGAGCGAAACTGGCTTTGCGGCCGTGGTATATCTGAGGTTCCAAGAAGCAACTATCATTGAGTGTGCGCTAGTGGGATCTAAGACAAGAGTTTCACCTCTCAAGTTTCTGTCAATTCCACGCTCCGAGCTTCAAGCCGCGATTATTGGAGTTCGGCTAGCAGACACCATAGGCCATTCGCTGTCAATCAAGGTGAAGCAGCGATTCTTTTGGACGGATTCTAAGGATGTACTCTGCTGGTTGAATTCCGATCACCGGCGTTATAGCCAGTTCGTCGCCTTTCGTGTTAGCGAAATTCTCGAGACGTCGGATGTACGCGAATGGAATTGGGTTCCGAGTAAGCAGAACGTAGTAGATGAAGGAACGAAGTGGAAAAACAATCCCGACTTGTCCGCTTCCAGTCGCTGGTTTAGTGGTCCAGAGTTCCTGTGGAAACCGTCGGATCAGTGGCCTACCACCAATCATCGCACCGGAAACACCACCGAAGAACTTCGCCCACACTTGCTGTTGCATGCGGAAGTCGCAAACCCGGTGATCGACCTGCATCGTTTCTCCAACTGGCAGAAAATGCTTCGCTGCACAGCTTACGTTCTTCGCTATGTACGCAATCTGAAAATCAGCGTATATCAGATGGAACGGATCAACGGACCCCTACAACGACGAGAGCTGAGCGATGCTGAATGCTATCTGTTCCGAACAGCACAGAATGCCGTTTACGCAGATGAGATCACCATTCTCTCTAGAAACCGGCACACGGAGAATCCAGATAGCTCTATCCCTAGAAGCAGTACACTTTTCCATCAATGTGCCTTTCTAGACGAACACAATATCCTCAGGGTTCGAGGTCGAACGCAAGCTTGTCCGCTCATCGCCCGAGATGCCGCTCAACCGATCATACTGCCTCGTGAGCATCCGATCACACGGCTCATCCTCCTTGATTTCCACAAGCGATTCAACCACCAGAATCATGCAACAACGCTCAACGAAGTTCGTCAACGCTACCGTGTTCCCAGACTGAAAGCGACGTACAGGACTGTACGGAAAGAGTTCCAGGAATGCAAAAACGACCGTGCGTCTCCGCAGCCTCCCGCAATGAGTGACCTGCCACCGTACCGTCTCGCTGCTTTCACACGACCGTTCACATACATGGGGGTGGATTACTTTGGTCCTATAACCGTCATCGTAGGACGACGTTCCGAAAAACGGTGGGGAGTCTTAGCAACATGCCTCACAACCCGCGCTATCCACTTAGAACTAGCTCACACACTGACAACCGACTCGTGTATCCTGGTGATACGAAACATCATGGCCATGAGAGGGACACCTGCAGTTATCTTCAGCGATCGTGGTACCAATTTCCAGGGGGCATCCAAAGAACTGAGAACAGTGATGCAGAACATCGATCAGGAGCAGCTCATGCAAGAGTTTACGACGCCTAATACGGAGTGGACCTTCATACCACCAGCAAGTCCACACATGGGCGGGGCTTGGGAACGCCTGATCCGCAGTGTGAAATCCAATCTCCATAAGTTACCGTGGACAAGACTTCCAACAGATGAGATTCTCTATAGTACGTTACTAGAAATTGAGAATGTCATAAACTCACGACCTCTGACGGACATCCCTATGGAAGACGATGAATCACCGGTGTTGACACCCAACCATTTCCTGCTAGGATCGTCAAATGGGATGAAGTCATGGGTGCCGTACAACGATAGTCCCAATGTGCTCCGAAACAACTGGAAACTATCACAGGCTATGGTCAACGAGTTCTGGCGGCGGTGGTTGAGGGACTACCTTCCGTTTATCACCCGGCGCACCAAGTGGTTCATGAAGGTGAAACCAATCCATGTGAACGACGTAGTGGTCATCGTAGACCCGAAGGCCCCTCGTAACAGCTGGCCTTTGGGACGAGTCATCGCAACTAGACCTGGACAGGATGAACAAGTGAGGAGTGCCACCGTCCAGACTGATCATGGCATCTACGAACGGCCCGCAGTGAAACTCGCCGTGCTTGACGTAGGCGTTAGGGATCAATACGCTTCCGGAGGACCTGCTGCGCATTCGGGGGGGAGTGTTACTACGCCTATCGATTCGGCGAACCCCTCGACTTCCTGTGAGTGATGAGAAGTGAGCAGCGGGACCCGTCACTGATCTCGCATGATCACCACTGCATGATCGCTATGTCATCTTAGCTGCCGTGATCGCGATCTGTCATCCGTTGATGACTTGCCAAACGTGTATAGAAGAAAAAGTAGCTCGATTGAAAGAAAGTGAAAATTATTCTATGCTTAATATCTAAAAGTTTCCTTAAAATCTAGTTTCTTAACCTAAGCTAACCTATCTAGTGCTTAAACATAGTTGTTTTCCTACAGTTAATACTGAAATCAACATAAGGTGAGAAGAACAAATTACAAATGCCGAATCAAATTACTGACTAGTGTTCTTAAATAATAGGTTACATCTATAAATAGAAATTTAGGAGAAACTGCTATATTATTCTACAAACTACAATTAAGTCTATATTACCGAACTAAAAGGTAAGGGAAAATTAATTAATTTAAAGATTATAAGCACCCGTTTGCTAATCAATATTTAATATGCAACAGCTGAAACTGCGCAAGTTAGGGATGCCTACGACGCAATCGGATTTTTGTTTGAAGAGGTGTTGAATTAGCAAAAGTATGTCGTAATTGATACCCGGTAATTTATACTAAATTTAACATACTTAAATCCTTTTAGGAATTTATAACATCGTTTACTCTCAGAATAAATGTTCATGAATTCGGTAAATTCTGGCGACGTCCGCAACTTTTCTTCGAACACCCACCTAAACCTGTTCTAATCCACCTGAAATGACTAACGAATGGAAGACTTTGACTACCCAGCCATGCAATAGTCTCATTCCGTGCCTTATGGCAACTTGATGATTCTATTGCGCTCATCTTTTGGCACCACCCAGGGGAGACTTGGTCCTGTACCCAAAGCTTAACTTATCTCCATTCCACTCAGCTTCTCGCAATTTCTTGTGATATAGTGGGCGGAATATTATTATATGAGACAGTTCAATGCAGACGTCTTTCCAAATTTGGCAGATCGACAGGTAATCGGTGAGTTACCACGATAGTTGCTATTCAACAACTCGACAACGTCCCATCGTCAACGCCTGCTATGAGAATTTCCCATTGCAGACGCCAACGAAATGACGTCATCGAGCTATAGATCAAATAGCCTGTTTATCGCCTGGTACCTTATAGCACGATGCTAGAAGGCGAACCGGAAGAATCGATGAGCTACCTCTCCCCCACATTAGGTACAACTAACTTACTTTTGGTTAAAAAGCCAATGGAAAATTCCATACGAACTGCACACAAGTAAATGAAAATTACTTTGACCCGCTTTACCTACTTTTGGGTTCCTGCACTATAGTGCCGAGATGAGTGAAAAGAACTTAATGTTGGGTACTTTTTCTAACCGTGTATAGGGCTTGAGTGAGGCAATAATCATTCGATGTTTTGGTTCAGTGTACCAAGTTTCCAAACCTGGCGTCTAGTGTCAGAACTGGCAGACTGCGGGCGAGTGTGTGCGTGATGTTTGTTTTGTTATCAACAAGTTGTTTCGTTATCGAAATATTTTTTTTAAATAAATTGATGCCGGTATTTAGTTAGTGGTCGTAATTTAGGTATTTAATGATTGTTAAAACTTTCCTCAGGACAAAGAACTTATAGGTTTAGAAAAAATCATCACATTGTTATAATTCAAAATCCTATCGTTTTTTTTCTGCAGTGAAATGACTTCTGTGACATTGAGTTCAGAAATACATCCCGAACTGACGGAGTATGTAGTTAAATTGATGTTGAAAAACCGGATCAACACGGTGTTCGATTTTGCGAAAGCAGAAGATGATCGCTTGATGCGCATAACGAATCTCTCGTACGAAGATGTTAGTGCCATCAAAAAAGATATAATTTTGCAGTTTTCTGGAAACAGCATTCAGGTTGTAGAATATTTTCAATATCTAGAAGAAATGGTTGAACCACTAAGAACCGGCATAAGAGGACTTGATCTGTTGATCGAAGGCGGACTGCTTCCTGGCCATGTGATGGAAATATGTGGGGAATCAAGTTCTGGGAAGACTCAAATGTGTACGACGATGGCAGCAAATATTGCCCTCAAACATAAGTTGGATGTCTTTTATGTAGATACAAAATGCGACTTTTCTGCTCATAGGGTTCAAAAAGTTTTACAGCTGAATAAGTGCTCTGATGACGAGATGAAAGAAGCTATGGCAAGAATCAAAGTTGAGCGGATATTTTCACCCGAGGGCTTGATTTGTGCAATGGAGGATCTACTCGTTAAGGTGGATGACTGGGAAAAATTCAAAGTTCTGATCATAGATTCTTTACCTCCGCTTTGGTACCTGCATCAAAACTCAAAAAGCATGTGCTATCCATTGGGAATGCTAACGCGTTTGATTGGACTGCTAAGGAAGCTAGCTTCTGAAAATCTTATCTCGGTAGTGTTGGTAAATCTCAAAATAGCTTCGTCCGATTCATATGCCCTGGGCGGCGGCTCGAAGAGAATAATCAACCAGAGAGAATCTAGTGCGTATCCAGCATTGGGACGCTTTTGGGAGACGGCGCCTACAACCAGAATACTGATGAGCAAAATCGAGGGAAACGATACTGGACAGGAGAGGCTATTAACGATCTGGAAGTGCAGCTTTCTAAAATGCGGCGATCGACAAATGGTAACACTGACTGATGCAGGTGTTGTTTAGTTAGCCGTTTTTTCGATTAAATAAGCTAATTACACCATCATGCTTTGAATTTTCTGAGAAAAATCCACCTAAAATAATATCTACAAAACAATTATATGAAGTATTAACTTTCGAACCAGCCTTGTATGAGCTTTGTCTTTCAAGCCGAACAATGGATTGGGTCCTAAGCAACACTGATCGATTCTCTTAATCGACTTTCTATTTCGTTAATAACATAGCTATACAACCGTTTCTTGACTTGCTAGATATTTGTTTTCTATCATCGAACTGTGCGGTGAAAATAGGAAAATTTAATTTAACGGTTCTTTTCAAGATTTAAATGAATACTGTCCCCTAAAAAAAAAGGTGAATTGTGATATGAATAACTTACACATTGATTTTATAATGTGCTGATTTGTACTATGTATTAAACATCTGTTCATCTTACTGCTGGCTTCCATGAAATCTTTACAATTGTGGATCACACATAACTCGTTCTTGTTGCCGGTTGGACTTAAATCCCATACTATTATAATACTGGAGTAAATTTAAAATGTCAAGATACGTCGACTATTCTATTTTAAATCGTAAAAGTCAACTTCAAGTTACTGTGCTCACTTACCATCCCGAGCTCCTTCTCAAGGTTTACCGCTATATTTTTCCCTTTGGTACATCTTAAGAACCTTTTTCGGTGGTACCAATTCCCGGCTCAGCCCAGGTCGTTTTTTCTTATTCGTTTGTTTGCGGGCCACCTGAGTCGCTTCCGTTTGTCCACCAGAAGGGCCCTCTGCACTTGCGGGTTCTTCTGTTTCAACCTGAACTCCATGCAAATCTTTCTTCAGTATAAGATCGGAGTCGTGAGCAAAATTACACTTGCTGCCGAATCGACAGCGACCCTTCCTATAGCTCCAGCAAATTTTACGCTTCTGCTCACTGATTTCATGTTCCGGATCAATCTGAAATCGTTCAAGAGCGCTTTATTTTAAGACAAACTATGTAACCGGGTTAACGGTTTCGGTATCATGGAGTTATTATGGGGGATCAGCCATGCCGGGTTGATGAAACTTTACAAATAACATTACCATTTTGACATGCTTCTCCAAACTTGCCATCTTGGCGTCTTCTGCTTCCTTAAAAGGATTACTAAAGACACCTCCAGGAATCGACTTCTTTTCGTTGGCCAACATTAAACTTGCACTGGGAAGCGTTGAAGCAGTACTGGAGGAACAAAATCTACATCGTCACATTGAACTAACGAGCTCCAAGCGTGTTTGCATGTACCTCTGTGTGGTGTTGTCCGTTTTCTTTTCCTCACAGTTTGATTCATCGCCGGAATTACTGGATCCGGATGACGAACTTTCATCCTCGTCACTGGTTCCATAATCTGCGACAAGGGAGAACATAATTCGTGTCTGTTGCACCACGAATAAAGCCAAATTTTAAATTATTATTCAGGAAAAAAATGTTTTTTTTTATACAAAAAAGTCCTATGCAAAATGGAAAACTTTTGTGTGTAAACAAGTTATGACAACACTAACGAGGATTCCATAACGCAAAATTGAATAATAATTTGAGAAAACGTGTAACAATCATAACGTTTCACGGAAAGACGAAATGACTCAAAATTAAGTGTTTTGTACGTTTTGTACTCATTTTGACAACTATAAGTGCACACAGAAAAACAAAACTACCCACCGCTTGGGTTTTTTAAACTTAAATTTGAGTTATTTGACCTATGCCCGTTTCATTTCCTCTCGCTATTGTTGTCAAAAATAGAACGAAAGATTCGACTCAACCGTCTAGTTCCGTACGAGAAGCCAAAATTGAGTAATATGCGATATACCCAAATTTGAGTTAATTGAACTTAATTTTGGGTAGAAAAAATTGAAAATAACTTAGCGATTGGTAATTTTTTTTGCCGTGCTTAAATGCAAACTACTTTGAGCCGGTTTACCCAAATTTGGCTTATCGTACGGAACATGGGAGATGAGTGAAAAGAACTTAATTTTGGGTTGTTTTGAATTTCTGTGCAACCAGTCAAAACCGAGGGGCGATTCACTTGTGTATTTTTGATTCAGGCCAACGTATTGAAGTATTTTTTTTTTATCGAATAAGCGTGTATTTTGTGTAATAATGTATATTTTGAATATTATGTATTTTTTTGTGTATTAGAAAAATAAAAGTGTATTTTTATGCATTAATGTATTGAAAATCAGATATAATGTCGTTTTCGTTTTTGCGGTGTAGCACTGGTGTAGTGTAAGCAGGAATAAGCGCGAGTCTTTGACAGCTCAACAGCATTTGCTTGTAAACAAAGGTGCATCCTATATCTACACCCTAAAATATATCGGTGTACGGCAGTGTAGCACCGGTGTAGCTACACCGCAAAAACGAAAACGACATAAGTGTATTCTGTCATTTCAGTGTTTATGTTTACCACTCGAACCGAGGATCTCCCTTTTTATGGCACAGACCTGTTGGTCCATATTATCGAACCGAGGATCAAAAGGATGAAACTCACAATGTTGACGTTTTGTTTGACAAATGCACAACACACGTTAACTTTGAAATACCCACTGATCAGTAGAATTTTACCCATTTTAAAGAAAAGAGGCTTAACTCATTAACTCATTAGGGACTGTTCATTAACTACTTAGACAGTTTTGACGTAGAACTACATCTTTGTCGACTATACTGGGGTGCAAATCAAAAAATATGTGTGATGAAGGAGTGTTAGGTTTTGAACGCTTGTAACTTTGTCATTTATAGATGAAATTAAAATCAAAATACGCCAATCTATACGATATAACATTACGAACCTACTGAAATAAATATTTTTCCAATTTTTCTGTAATTAAACTTTTGAAAATGTACAAATGTTAATGTTATCACTGTTTTCATGAAATAAGCCTTTTTCCCAAACCCAGTCATCATAAACGAATCCCTAATAAACGAATACCACAGACAAACAGACATAACACATTGAATATTTCTCAATGTAAAACATCGTCGCTAAAACATTACCGCCATCTGTTGAGTACACTGTGGTGGGTAGTACGCTGAACAGATGGCGGTAGTGTGTAAACGTCAAACGCAAGGGAATTGACTATGCGCGCCACAGGTGGCGGTACTACCAACTACGATACTTTTGAATTGACCGTTAAATGCTTGTTCGATGAACAACTTGCGAGTGTTAGTGTGAATTGTATCCCGGATGGGTAAACTATCCCACAAATGGTTTGGATGATACCCCGAACACGTTGTTAAGCTCTCTTTTATGGTTATTTTTATTAGGGATACCACTAGGTTGCACATCATTCTGCTTGAACATGAAAAGATATAAATCAGCGCTGCTCTCCTGCCTCTGCACATTACCGATTCGGACGGCGTGGCACTAGCTCGGGCACTAGGTCTTGCAGAAAGCAGGAAACCACAATGAGGAATGCGACACAATAAGAAAAAGAAATGTTTGTAAACCCGCTCCCCCTTCACAAAAACCTCTACCCCCCCCCCCCCCCCCCTAACAATAATCCGAAAAAGACATGGACTTTGACGATCACTTTTTTCCGGGAAATAAATTTTAACCAAACCACAATTATTAGTAACAACCAGGACCGTACACGATTGCTTTTATTGACAATAATCGTATTGTCAAAACATTCAATATTGACGTCAATACATAGGTATTGACAATATTTCTGTATTCACATCATCAATATTCATGTCAATAATTCCCCTTCGCGTCAATATATTGACGCGAAGGGGAATTATTGACAATAATATTGATGATGTGAATTCAGAAATATTGTCAATCTCGATATATTGATGTATTGACAATACGATTATTGTCAATAAAAGCAATCGTGTAGGGTCCACTAAAGGATAGTACAAAGTCCGCCATGTTTCACGAACAGTCTGACGTTTGCTTATGGATCTTCTCATAGGAGTAAAGAGCTACAGAGCTGGGGGGGGGGACGTGCTGTCAAATCAGCCTACTGATCATTCTTGTATGATACTGGTTCCAAACGTAAACAAACGCTGTAGGTTTCTTATGCCTTGTTCAGACTGGAGAGTTATAACAGTTCAGTTATAATCATACGTTCAGACTACAGAGTTATAACATGTTATAGCGCTTTCTTGATGGTGGTTTCTGTGTTGCAAATTATTTGACAACCGTTATAACATGTTATAACTCTCCAGTCTGGACAGCGTTTGAACGTACTATAAAGGGCCACCCACATTAGATCCGTTTGCGTTGCGTTGACGTAAATATGTCAGTTAGACAATAGATTTAGCTGTCACTTTGCCGCAACGCGTTCGATCCGGATCTAATGTGCGTGGGCCTTAAGGGGTCTAGTATTTTATTACTACTTCACTCAATTTTGAGTTTATCTCATCGGTCGTGCACACATTACATGCGTTACTCACGTGAAATTTAACTTCAGTTTGGACAGTTCAATTTGCGATCAACTTACTTCAACTGTGATTGAGTACGTTCAGAAAGCTGATCAACTTCATACTTTATTTTGTTCGCTTTCAAGCAATAAGAACACCAACCACCAGATCGGAGACGAATTGAATCAACTTGAACCGTCATTATCACTCTCGATATCTCACGCCATATTTACAGTGCAGGAGCTGTTGGTGTGCACGAATTTTTGATTTATTTTTCGATAAATTCACTTACAATTTTTTTAAATCGAATTTTTTTATGAATAATAGTGTCTTACAAAACATTCGGAAAATGCTGAAATTTATTGGTAACTTGTGCTTCGGATGGTAAAAAATAACTTAACCATATTTACACTCATGTTACAGATATTGGTGCTAATCTGACGGATCCTATGTTCCAAGGCGTCTATAATAATTCCACTAAGCATCAGGCTGATCTGAGCAACGTTTTGGAACGGAGCTGGGCGGCCGGTGTGCAGAAGATTATCGTTACATGTGGTACACTTTCCGATTGCGATCCGGCTTTTAAAATTGTGAACGAAAATGGTAAACAATAACTACCTTATAATTTATTAAAAACTGCGAACCGGTGCTTCTACTTCTTTCAGATAAGCTGTTTACAACCGTCGGTTGTCATCCGACCAGATGCGGAGAATTCGATGCCGATCCGGAAGGATACTTCGCGTCTTTGTGCAATAAAATAGATGAAAATCGTGACAGGGTCGTAGCGATAGGAGAGTTCGGTTTGGATTACGATAGACTTCACTTTTGTGAAAAGGACGTTCAAAAAAAGTACTTTGAACAACAGTTAAAACTAGCCGAAAAATATAAACTGCCATTGTTTTTGCATTGCCGTAATGCACATGAAGATTTCATTGAGATTTTAAGAAGGAACCTAGAAAAAATTCCCAAGAGAGGTGTCGTTCATACGTTTGACGGGACGTTAGAGGATGCCCAAACGTTAATCGACCTAGGGTTCTATATTGGCATCAATGGTTGTTCTTTAAAGACGGAGGAAAATTTAAAGGTGGCTTCTGAAATACCAGACGACAAAATAATGGTTGAAACGGACAGCCCCTGGTGCGAAATTCGACCATCGCATGCTGGCTCAAAGTTTATCCATACAAAATTTCCAGCCGTCAAAAAAAAGGAGAAATGGGACAAAGATATGCTTATTGCTGGACGATGTGAGCCCGCCATGATCATGTAAGTTTCATTATTAATTTTTAAAAAACTGTGGGCTAATTAAGTCATATTTCCGATTTGTAGGCAAGTACTAGAAGTGCTAGCAGGGATCAAAAATAAATCTGTGGAAGACCTTGCAGAACGCTACTACGATAACACTATCAAAGTATTCTTTTCTTGAATAAAAGTTGCATTTGATTCAAACAGTAATGACATTTGCTTTCAATTCTTGAGTTCAGTGTTAATCGTAAATTAAAAGAAAACAGATCATCTATCTGAGCATGTTAGTATAGGAAAAAAAAGGTCGGTTAAGATGGCAGCAAACAAACGAAATGAGAAACTATTCCAAAAGCGAAGGATTGGGAGTTACTCCCACTTTTTGAACTCGCAACCATCTGGCGGCTTAACGTCCACAGGCTTGGCACCTACTTCGGCCCAATTGGTGCTGAGGACGGTTCCACCAGATTCGTAGAACGATTTCATCATAGCCTTTTTGGTGTCCTCGTTTGCGTCCGCATATATTTTTCGGAATAGGTCCTGCACTGCTTCTTCACCCTGTTTTCAAATAGAACCTCGTCATTGAAGCTGTCAACTATAAATAGAATGATTATCAAACCTGTGGTTTGTCTTCCGCTTCCTGTTTTTCGATCTCCTTAGTTATCTTTTCCCAATCGTGCTGATTCTTTTTCGCGCTCGCTTCTGCTGATTTGATTGCTTCCCGTCGCTCCATAGCTTCCCAACGATGGCCGATAAGCTTCGCCAGCTTGATTTCCACCTTGCTAGGAGTGGCTTTGTACGAACTTTGCTCGACATTGATGGCGTCCCATAGTTTGATTGTTATCGGTTCGATTCCGTCCGCCTTGAGCTGAACCTCGCTCTGTTCGAGCGTGACGGAGTAGTTTTTTTCAGCAGCATTTTTTAGCAAAACTGTAACAGTTACACTCGTATCCGATTGATACCAGTCGTACTTGACCGTGCTGGTCATCTTGAGTTCTTTGTGCTGTTTTACTTAGCGAATGATAGTTACAGATTTTCCAAAATTTAATACCTAATGTTAAAAAAAGGATGCTTGATCATTCACGCACAAGAATGTTTTGTATTTTCTAGAAAATAATTGACAGATCTGTTCAGCGTTACCATCAGTATTAGCGTTACGCAGGTTGGACCCGAGAATCCAAAAGGGTCTCTCAGCATAAAAGGCCAGCGCTTTACAAATCAAGAGCAAATTTCCATTACGTCGAAAGCTGAGTGGTCGAAATCTGGGTATGTTGCCTATTGGTCCCAAGCAAACGATTAACGTACCCTATTCTAGTTGAAATTCTATTACTACACTATGTTTGTTTTGATTCGCTATGAAAGTTTGACAGATAACATCAGGGGTGTGTGGATTCATGCAGAACATGCAGGGGTGAGTGAAATAGCTTGGGACTGCTTGGGACCGTTGTTCTGGTACTGAGTGAGCCAAAAATAATAATGATTTTCTTCGGGACCCAGTGGTCTTAGAGTTACCTCTATGGTATTACCTATGCACTGATAAAATTTCAAAGATTGGTTTTATGTGTCACACATGAATTTTTGCAATGTGATCAACAAATGAAATCTATGTTTCGGACACATGCTTAATACGTGTACACATAAAAGTCAAGTGTAACCACACATAATATTCATTTGACTCATAAATTTCATGTGTGCTTCTGGGTGGATTCTGTTTATGTGTGGTCACATGAAAATCATGTGGAATTTCACATGGAAATTCGTCAACAAAAATGTGTGGAATTTTATTAGTGTGGTATTACCAACAATCAATACGAAACTAACGATTTTAAATTGGCTCACGACTTGACTAGCCTATTGGTCCCAAGCAAACGATTAACTTATCCCATTCTAGTCGAAATTCTACTATTACCTTGACTACTACACAGCACATCGAGTGAGTCCGCAGCTACAGAGGTGACAATACGGGGGCAAAAATGAACAACTTTTCTGTCAAACGTGAACCAGCTCGTGATTGGCTGATTTGATGTGTGTAAGATAGAGATAGACATAGATAAAGATAGAGAAAGAGATAGAAATTAAAGAGTAAGAAGCCAATTGTCACCTCTTCCCTAGCCTCTTCCTCTTAGGTCGGCAGTATAAATACTCAGAGGGAGAGTGATGGGCGGAGAGAATGTTTTGAGCCAAATGAACTGTAAAAACTGAGCCAGTCGAACATTCCCATTAGAATTTTCTGAGGATTTCTTATTCTTACTAGATTAAATTTGAGAGTATTGCAATCGGACAGAAATTCAATCACCTTTATTTTTCGTGTGCTTCTCAAATTCAACTAGTTTTTGGAATCAAAAACAATATTCTAACTCAATTGATTAATTGATCTTCATTGGAAAAAAAAAATGTGCAAAATATTGCAATGCAATCAATTATTATTTTGCACGTAAATCGAATCAAAAATAAAAGTCATGTGAAATGCTAGCTTTTAGCAAGGGTTGCAAGATAATTAAGGTACAAATCCCTGCTGCCAAATTGTATTTTGTTTTCTCCGCCTATCTCTCCCTCTGAATATTTCTAGACAAATAAAAATCCAGCTGTGTTGTCAAAAAATAAAACGGTCAGGATTAGAAATACTCAGTGGGAGAGAAGAGCAGAGATGATGTTTTGAGCCAAACGAACTGTCAAAATCTGAGCCAATCGAACATTCCCTTTAGATTTTTTTTATTCTTACACTGATACAAAATCCATTGGCAAAAATACTATATTTCTGGTTTAAACTCGGCTCAAACAATGAAAATAAATGTCATGAGATTAGATTTGTTCGAGAAAAATCAGTTTTTTATTGTTAAGGTCAGGTTAAGGTGCTTAACAACCCCGCTATTTTACCACAAACGAAGTGACAGACGGAGCGGCTCGAAAACTTTGGTGACTAACCTGCTATTTCTATTTTTCAGTGTACCACATTGTGGTAGATAGAGTTGGTGTGGAATAATAATAATGAAATAAATAAAAACTTGAGAGGTGAGTCAAGTAATGAAACACTCAATTTGAGTTAAACTAAATTAGAGTGGAGCGTGGCAGAAGTGATAATAGAGAGATGCGAACAAAATCTCATGCTTAGTGAGGGGAAATTCTGACACAGCACGGAGGTATAAAAACGAGCTACCTAAGCTCGTAGAGGTCATTCTTGTAACTAACTTTGGAAGCAACGGAGACCAAACAGCAGCAGTAGCAGCAGCAGCAGGAGCATCAGCAGCAGGAGCATCAGCAGCAGGAGCATCAGCAGCAGGAGCATCAGCAGCAAGAGCAGCAGCAGCAAGAGCAGCAGCAGTACTGGAAGCAGATTAGTCGAGATTCGTGTAGCCGTGACCGAGGCTGGAAACCTCGGTCCGGTCACGACACACACCATCTTCTTCTTCTTTCCTTTATTTAACGTCGATCTCTGTTCCGCAATCTAGTGCCAATCACCGACGGACATCGATTGCCATCCATTGACGACAATCGAATGTGAAGGAAGGCAGCTTCCACACCAACTCTATCTACCATCTGAAATTTTGAAAGTAATAGTTATGGCTGATAATATTGAAGATAATGAAAGTTGAAACTGATGTCAATATTGTAGTGGAAATGATGAATTCTATAACAATAATGATAATAATAATAATAATAAAATAGGATGCATGTGTACTCAAGAGTACAGGAGGGGAAGGATGTGGTAGATAGAGTTGGTGTGGAATAATAATAATGAAATAAATAAAAACTTGAGAGGTGAGTCAAGTAATGAAACACTCAATTTGAGTTAAACTAAATTAGAGTGGAGCGTGGCAGAAGTGATAATAGAGAGATGCGAACAAAATCTCATGCTTAGTGAGGGGAAATTCTGACACAGCACGGAGGTATAAAAACGAGCTACCTAAGCTCGTAGAGGTCATTCTTGTAACTAACTTTGGAAGCAACGGAGACCAAACAGCAGCAGTAGCAGCAGCAGCAGGAGCATCAGCAGCAGGAGCATCAGCAGCAGGAGCATCAGCAGCAGGAGCATCAGCAGCAAGAGCAGCAGCAGTACTGGAAGCAGATCAGTCGAGATTCGTGTAGCCGTGACCGAGGCTGGAAACCTCGGTCCGGTCACGACACACATGGCAACACCACTACTACTGGATTGTACCACATGGCAACACTACTACTAGATTGAACTAGCATTTTCACCAAATGTACTAGAATGTTTTGGTTCTATCTCTTTCACTCTACTCAAAACTGAAATGCATAAAAAAATGATAAAATGAAACGCACTCTTTGAACACTGCCAAAGAATCATTGTACACAAAATCAACTTTGTTCAAATCAAAACAAAAAAACTAACCCATCTGGTGGATGATGGCACAAGCTTCCAAAAAAATTCTATTACAGTGAACCACATTATTTAAATGGATTTCTTCGCCACCCGCATAAACGCGAACCATCACATGACCTTACCGATAATGGTTATAAATTGTTTATAATCCCTGCTAAACTTCAACTGAAATGGTTATGGAACTTTACATGAACGTTTGTGTGATAAAGTTTTAACCTTATGTATTATGGTTTTTTGGAAGCGGACCTTACACATAATGGGTTGTTAAGAACCATTACCATTCAAAATTCTTGTTTTCTCCATACATTATCGGAAAGAGAACTATATTAGAACTTTTTTACTTATGGTTTGAGAACATTAATGGTTATGGTTATGGTAGTCAGTAAGGTCCATTAATGGTTTTGTATTATCGCTCAACTTTACGTGAAATATATCGTGAATTGGTAATCAGTAATTTACAGGCAACCAATTTGCGATATATTCCACATAAAGTTGATCGATGTTACAAAACCACTCATGGATCTTACTGGCTACCATAACCATTACCATTAATGTTCTCAAACCATAAGTTAAAAGGTTTTAGTATAGTTTTCTTTCCGAAAATGTATGGAGAAAACAAGAATTTTGAATGGTAATGGTTCTTAACAACCCATTATTTGTAAGGTCCACTTCCAAAAAACTATAATACTTAAGGTTAAAACTTTATCATTAAACGTTCATGTAAAGTTCCATAACCATTTCAGTTGAAGTTTAGCAGGGATTATAAACAATTTATAACCATTTTAGGTAAGGTCAATTTATGGTTCGCGCTTATGCGGGCAGTTAGTCGTCTGTCACTTCGTTTGTGATTTTACTGTAAATTTCTCAAATACCATGATTTTCATAGTCGTGAACCATAAATTCTGTTTTGATTTTAAGGCAATCAACAAAATTGTTCAATGTTTTGACACACTAATAAAATTCCACACATTTTTATTAACGAATTTCCATGTGAAATTCCACATGATTTTCATGCGACCACACATAAACAAAATCCACCCAAAAGCACACATGACATTTATGAGTCAAATGAATAGTATGTGTGGCGAGGGGCGCGCCCTTTCAGATATAAGTGCGTGATATTTAAAATACATCCCTAATAAACAAATACCATAAACGAACTGTATCCCGGATGGGTAAACTATCCCACAAATGGTTATGATGATACCCCGAACACGTCGTTAAGCTCTCTTTTATGGTTATTTTTATAAGGGATCGTAGTTATTTAAATACTTTGAAGACAGTAATAACAAAGAAGAATTTAAATACTTAAAGCGGTATTGAAAATAATTAACAAATAATTAGCGATAATTTATGTAACGACAAATAATTTAACTATATTGTTAATAATTTATATATAAAATTTGTGAGTAAATAAAGTATTTATTGAAATTCAGAGTTTATTCAAAGTATTTAATGCAGTAATGGTCAGCAGGCTGTGTACCCGCATAGAAAAGAACCATTTCTAGAACAGTTCAAACTTCACTGAAACCTTACTAGCTATGTTAACTTTATACAATATAATATACACTATAGTATTGAAAGACTAGTGCGTGCCCCGATGTGTGGTTATACATGGCTTTTATGTGTACACATATTATCATTATGTACATAGATATCATTTCAGTGCCAACATTTCAAAGGGGCGTAATTGCATTTGTAAACAATGGCTTTAGTCGTCAATTTCTCGCAAATGAAAGCTCACTCATGAAAATGAATGACACCAGCATGCAGAGGTATGTTTCATGTATCAGCTAGCATTTGTAATTTGGAGAGGTGGGTTTGAATTTGCGAGAAATCGACGTCTAAAGCCATTGTTTACAAAAGCAATTACGCCCCTTTTGAAATGTTGGCACTGATTTGTTGATCACATTGCAAAAATTCATGTATGGGACACATAAAAACAATGAAATTTTATCAGTCCAGTAAATATCATGGTTTCAATGACAATGAAATTCATTGTATTTTTATTGGATTTTTTATGGGGTTTTAAACCAAAGAGTTAGCCCATGCATTATCTGTCAAAAAACCCGAAAACGTATGCATTGTTCGCCTGCCTTAATAATATTTAAATTGAACGCTGAAATACTAAAGCCCTTTAATTAAAGTATGGACGACTGTCACCACAAAACTGAAAAAAAGCTGTTCCAATCGAGCAAAGCGGTGCATTTTGACGGTTCGATTGGAACAACTTTTGACAGACGTCCATACTTTTACTGTAGGGCTTTATAATACTAAGGCTAAATACGTGTTCGATACTGAGCAGAAAGTATTACACCTGTTTGTCTGTGGCATTACGGAAATATCGATTTAAATTTTCCGGATTAAGGAGAACATACTGTAAGTATATCGTTTTGTATCGTTCAACTACTGTCATTTGTCACTGTTTTGGTGAAGTTTTGTTTACTTCTTTTGTTCATTTTTCCGTTCATTTTCATATTTCCACCGATTTCCACTGAACCGTGCTCGTTTCCTCCACAGCACAGAGCAGCATAAGCAGTAGCAGCAGGTAGTAGCAGTCACAAGTCTCAAAAGTGCAAGTTTTTCGAAAGCTGAGAGAAAATCAGTCGCACATTTTGCGATAACGCAGCTATTGTGTACGGCGTAGAATTTTGCGAAGAAAGTTGTTTATGTGCAAGCAAACGACGATCTAGAAACGATGGACGATTTGAAACTCACGACCGATTAGAATATTATGATTTCAAGTTAAATAGAGCACAACGGGGGTAGGTACCAGATAACACTCGGATGGGTTTCCCCGACACTTTCTACGGTGTTTTTATAACGATATGAAAAAGGAGCGTTCGAAGAGCAGCAATACCAAGGGCTGGACTTTTAGAACAAAGAGAAGGAGAAAAAGGCAACTTGTAAAAATTGGAGAACATTTTCTTGGTTTTTAATTTCGTGAAAAAAAGCTTTTCGTGTGAACGTCCTGAAAAACCGGGTCTAGATCCCGAAATTTACCAGCTATCGGAGCGGAACGAGTGTAGTGGCATAAACTCGTAATTGAATTACGATTACAACGCGATTTACTAGCTTGAAGGAAGGAGTGATCAGCGCAAAGAAACGAAAAAAAAAGCTAACGGAGCATTAAAAAAATAGCGACTGGTAGAAATAGGCACGGAGGCATCGAAGCAACGACAGTCTAGCCAAACATGAAAGCCATCGAGGCAAAAATCGTCGTTTTGGGTTCTCAAGGTGAGTATCTTTTTTCTTTCGTACGCTGTTTGTCAGTATTTGTAGTTTGTTATTCTAGTGTTCTGCTGGTCGAAAGACCTTCGACTATACGACATATTTACAAATCATGTATTTAGTTTAACTGTCTACCGATACTTGTTGTGATGATTCGATCTTCCGATAAATCAGTATCGCTTTACGTATAAAGTATATTATATGATCTATGGAGAAGATAAAAAACGAAATTGTATTTTTTTAATTGAATTTTTAAGTCGAACATCAAAATCTTTTTCTCCAATTTTAAACTTGGAAATTGGATTTTTAACAACACAAACTAAACACCTAATATAAACATTTCAATGCAGTAACAGCAGTGATATATAGGTAGGTTAATATCAAGCTTCCTATAAACTGAAATAATTTTTGATAAAATATTATATATCTTGACTTAGTGTTTGGCCTTCGCCTGGTTTTAATATATTTTTTCATTGATTTATTAATTTACCTTAAAATCATAGTTCGATGACATCTGTTCTTATCTAATCATTTTTATTGGCAGTGATTTTGTAGTCTAGCAGAATTACGATAGTAATTTTTGCGATAAAGTTTGCTTCCATTGATAGAAATTGATTTCGGCAGGCCTCGTATGAACTTCGAACGGTCTATTCCAGTGGTGCTCAGCTGAAGGCATCTGGCGGGTCATATTGCTAGTTTCTATGTGAAATGCGAACTGTACTTAGCGCCTTAGTGAGGGGTGAATTCAAAGAGTCTCCTTAGCGACATTCCACAAAATTCATTGCAGCAATAATAAAATAAATTTTTAGAGAAGTTTCAAAGCAATGCTGACGAGAATTGGAATTCTGAAACCATGATAGAGAATTGTGATAGGAATTTGAAAAGAATCTGAACTCAACTTCAAGAGTCGATTCTAAAAGAATCCTGAAGAGAATTTAACATGTTCAACAGTGTCAAGGAGAGCTTGTTTAGCAGTTAGTTTTGAGTTAATTTCCATGGAAATTCAAACTAACACTAATTTAAACAATTTAAAGTTGATTCTAGACATAATCCTTGGTCAGTTTGCGGGCATACATTCCACAGACTGAAAGCATTCTGTGGGCTGCACAAACTCACTCAGGCCCGCGGACCGTTGGATGAGTACCACTGGTCTAGTACATTTATTTCCATGCATGAACTGGATACACTAAACTGCGCGTCTAAATTAGTCCGTGTTATCTTGCAGAGGATTTTGTTTTTTATCAGTTTCTATTTGCCAGGTTTATGTCACTGCCTTGGATACCTTTTGACTAATCATGAATTAAAAACGTGCGATAATCTTTTAGTATGCACACGAATTTAACCGATGCCTGATAGCATCAAGTGTATGACAGATTACTCTAAACTGAAGCAAGGTAAGGGTAAGAGCTTGACAATGTTGAAACATACACTGATAAAATTTCAAAATTTTTTTTAATGTGTCCCACACATGAATTTTTGCAATGTGATCAACAAATATACTTAATATGTGTACACATAAAAGCCATTCATTTGACTCATAAATTTCATTTGTGCTTCTGGGTGGATTCTGTTTATGTGTGGTCACATGATAATCATGTGGAATTTCACATGGAAATTCGACAATAAAAATGTGTGGAATTTTATTAGTGTAGGGAGCTGTACCGTCGGGTTATCCTATCTTTCTTTTTACATCTAGTGGTGGTTTGTTTACATTGATACCAGGCCAAATCGCCGCTGAGCCGCATCCAGTTTGTGTTTCCAAACTCGGCTAGACTGCTTCAAGCCGTACAATGCCTTGTTCAGCTTGCACACCTCGGTCTTCCTTCTTCCGTCAACGAAGCATGGGGGCTGTTCCATGTATATTTCCTCGTCGAGGTCACCCTGCAGGAAAGCCGTCACTGCATCCATCTGGTCGATCGTGAGGTCGTGCTTGATAGCCAGGGCAAAAAGGTATCGCAGCGAACTATAGCGAACAACGGGAGCATACGTTTCATCGTAGTCTACCCCGTTTCGCTGTGAGTAGCCTATGATGACCAGCCGCGCCTTGTGCCGTTGAACTCCTCCTGCAGCACCACGTTTCGTTGTGTACACCCATTTGCACTTGATTACCTTCCTTCCCTTCGGTAGCTTGGTGAGCCCGTCCCGAGCCAATGCTTCTTGATGAGAAACGGGGTCGTCTTCGAATTCACCATCCATGCCAGATGCTAATGCCACTAGACCGTCGTTGTCACTCGGTCCACTAGTGCTATCGTCAACGGGAAACCATGGAAGTCGCTCGATTCATTGGAGATTGGCTGTGAAAGTGAGATACCAGGAAGGCCAGTGCTATCAACGTGAAAATCTTTGTACTTGGCTGGAAGCACGTGCACCTTTGACCGAGGTGGTTCTGAAGCTTGTCGCAGAGGGAGCACAAGGTCAGTCAATGTGGATGTGTTGGTATCGTTATCACCGCTTGAATCATCTGCTTCATGGTTCTCGTCTTCTGTATCCGATTCGCAAGGCTCGGTCGGTTCAATCGGAATAATCGGCTCGAATACGGTCTCGAACCAGTCTGGCAAACGTTGCCTTGCTACGCCGAGCATCGGGACCTACAGCTTCAGATGGGACTCCTTCGTCTAGGAAAACGACTTCACGACTCTTGATAGTTACCTTCATCTTCGGGTCGTATAGACGATATCTCTTGGTTTCTTCATCGAATCCCGTCAGCACGCATTCGTGGGATTTGGGGTTCCACTTGCGTCGTTTCTGCTTTGGAACCTGGACCAAGGCTTTCGTTCCAAAAACACGAACATGTGAAAGGTTTGGCTTTCTTCCACTCCACGCTTTTTCGGGGGTCACACCATGACCACGGGTAGGTGATCAATTGATCAGATAAACAGCTGTTGACACAGCCTCGGCCCAGAAGCCTTTCGATAACCTGGATTCGAATAGGAGACATCGCGCTTTCTCCACGATGGTCCGATTGGCGCGCTCGGCCAATCCGTTTTGCTCGGGAGTGTAATCGTTGGTTGTCTCGTGTCGGATGCCCTCTTTCTGCAAATAACCTTGGAAACCATTGTTCAGATACTCCTTACCATTGTCAGTCCGTATTGTTTTCAGCTTCTTGCTAACATCTCGACTTCTGATTTGGTTTTCAGGAAGTACACGAACATACGTCTAGTTTTGTCATCGATGAAAGTAATGTAGAACCGATTACCGCCAATCGAATTCATCTCCATCGGTCCACTGATATCCGAATGAACCAGTTGTAACACCTCGGACGCACGGGATCCGCTTTTTGGAAACGGCAATTTCGACTGCTTTCCCATAGGGCAAACGCGACAGTCTGCAGCGCTAGCTTCAACATTCAGTGTAAGCCAAGATGACCCATGCGTTTGTGCCAGAGATCGAGACTTCCAGCAGCATTACACGACAAAACCTGTGTGTTATTCGACGCCTGGTCCAGCTTGAATTGATTGTTGGAGTGGCTATCGGTTGCCACCAGCTCGTCGTTTGCGTTGTGCACTTTGCAGCCATCGTTGTTGAAAGTTACGGGATACCCCTTCTGTAAGATTCTGCTGACCGAGAGAAGATTCGCCGTCAACCCATGAATAAGCTGCACGTCACTCACTGCAACGTTGTCTTGAGCATCCCTGCATACCGATTGAAGATTTGCCGTTCCGCAGGCAACAATATCCATCATGCCACCGTTAGCTGCAACAACCTTACCGTCTGCTTGATCTAGATTTATGAGGAGCTCTCGATTGCTCGTCACGTATTGAACAGATCCGACTTGATGAGCTTGTGGAGCAAACCGATCTGCCGAGAAAGTCCTTTGTCCTCGAATGCCGTTTCCAACTTGGTCCATGCAGCTTCGGCCGATTCCGCGTCCTCAATGTGCACATAGATTAGCGGATCGAGAAGCAGGATCAGTTTCAACCGCGCTCGCAGATCCTTCTGCACATCCACCGGTTCGAATGTTCCGTCTGGTTTCTGCTTCGGCTTCACTGCATCCCAGAGTCCTTCCAGCTGAAGAAAAGTTTTCGCTGCGAACTTCCATGAGGACCAGTTGTCCCGTCTAGCCAATCTCTCGATGGGAGGAATACTTGAGGAACCGCCTTGAGAAACTCCGTTGGAATTCGAACTTGTAGTCATTTTTCTATCTTCTTTCACGCTGGGCCCATAACCTGTAGAGAGTAGCTAAAGACGTCTGTACGTTGGTAGTGGTTAGAGAAGAACTAATTTTAATTAAGACGTTTACAATTAAGTATAAATGTCAAGGCTAGCTTCGATTGCTAACAGCTTCGCTTCAACAGTAACTAGTCTTTGAAGCGGTGCATTTAGCAACGTGAAGAGCTGCAGTGTAGAAATAATATAGGTCTAAGTTAGCCATGAGTTATTTGAATAAAATTCAAGCACAACATGTGAAAAGGGCATACAAGCTTTTTGTAAACAAACCTTCTTATGCTCTTTTTTCGCCACCCATATGACACCAACGTAAACCTTTAACATCACTGGGTAGGGGAAACTTCCCCTTCCCGATGAAATTACTGGTTTGCGTAGGCGACCCTCGGTTGACGAGAAAAGGGCCTACAAAGGTTTGTTTACAAAAAGCTTGTATGCCCTTTTCACATGTGGCTCTTGAATTCGTTCTTCTTTTGTCGTCGCTCAAACGGACTAGACGCTATTTTATTTTGCTCATTGACTTCTCGATACAAGATCTCACTAATACAACCTAGCTAGTGTAGCCGTGTAAAATCGATTTGTTTATTATTTTCAACCACGAAATCCGCTTTCAAAGTGTTCGACTTGACAGCGGTTTGTTTTCTATTTTCAACCAGTAAAATGCATGTATTAGTGAAACTGATCACTAATACCATAGAGGTAGCTCTAAGACTAGAAGGTTCCGAAATAACGTGCTCAACTTTTTGGCTCAGCTCTGGTATTTTCTTCGGTCCCAAGCTAATCGATTCACCCCTCGAAACATAGGAAAATCCACTAACCCCTCATTCTATCTGTCAATCTTT